CTTTTCTTTTGCTGCCTTCTGATCAGAGGTCCCCTTCTCCCCACTAACTCTTTTAGGACTTCTGTATTCTGTCTTTGTTCATCTCAAGGCCAATCAGAAACACATTTTTAAAAAAATCAGTATTCAGGTCTGAGCAGACACAGGTCACTACTCAAATTCTGAGCTCAGTTCTGTTGCTGAAAATCGGAGTCTATTCTTCTGACTGCAAGTGTAGTTACTGGGGTGTAACTCGAATCATATTTTGGCCCTGAGTGCTCTTCCATGTTTTATCTAGCACAGCATGCCAGTCTCTAGAGAGGTGTGGATTTTTCCCCGTACTTCCAACATAAAAGAATTTCTGCTTCCTGTATTCAGATTGCTTTCTTCATTAAATGTACAAGAGCATGCATCAGTCCAGATCTCTTTCTGAAGACAATGCTCTGCCCAAACCTGTGTGCCTTCTACACACAGCACTGGGCATTTTCAATGTTGGCCTGATAGCTGCAGTCAGTAGCTGACATTCAAGGTCTCCAAGATGAGACTTTAAAATTCACTCTACTTTCAGCTCAGCACATACATGCACTGAACCCCAGCCATATACTACTGTTCACAGTGGTATTCTGGCTGCAGAATCCCAAGGCAGCTTGAACATCTTAGGGTGCATGTACACATGCACTTTAACGTGCATTAGCCTATTTTAATGCACATTAAAGTGTCACTAAAAAAAGTGCTCTTTAGCTAATGCTCATTAAGGCAGGCTGATGCACATTTTCCTAGTGTTTCACAATGGAGGTACTAGATTTAGTGCACATTAACAAGCACCTTTATGCACGTGTAGATGTGCCCTTAAAGACTGTGTGTGTAGAAAAGCTTCTCTGTATTCTTTTCCTGTTGTCCAAGACATATGCCTTCCAGTCTGCTGAACAGTGTGCAATGTGGGGAGTGGGGGAAAATAAACCCGGCAAACAACCTTCCTTTGGCTCATCTAGAGCCACTGATGGCACTTCATGTGGCAGCTTTGCCCCTCCTTCCCTCAGGCCCCATAAAACTGTACGTCTTGCTGGTAAGTTCAAAATGAACAATTTCAAGGGGAGGGATTGAGACTGTCCCATGAAACAGGCTGGTGGCTGGGTTTGAATTCCTGCAAGTAGAGGAAGTAAGCTGAGCCATACTTTGGGTGCCAGCAATAAACACAGAACATTAGGGCAGTAGCATTGGTTCCAGATGCAATTTGAAAGAAAATGGGGGCTGCTACTTCATTTGGTGCAGACCCCTCTCCCTCTAGGAATACCGATTAGATGAGCAGAAGAATGCTTAGGCTGTGGGCTCTCACAGAAATTAGGTGCGAGTGTATTACCAAGCTACTCATCACCATCATGACTGAGTTTTTTCTAAATCTGCCCAGAAGAAGACCTTTAGGTGTCTGGGACATTATAACAGCATGGTTAGCTGGCTTCAGACTCTAGTCATGTCCAAGGTGAGTTGAGAGCAGAGTGAGGTATTTGAAGATCTGCATCTTAAATTTAAATCCTTTTTTGTAGCTCTAGCCATAGAGCAATGCAAAATACTATCTCTGCTTGCAAAAAAGGGGCTGGAGGGGGTGACCTCCTGTGGTCGCTTTCAGCCTTATTTTTCTGTAACCTAGTGCCATCCAAGGCATCTCAATTTCTGGTCAGTGGCTGCAGAAGCAGAAGACGAGATGTAAGGCTCGCCTGTCCTCCCTGTGACAAGTTCTAGGAGGGTCTCTGGGCATTTCTCCTGGATTATGTGGCAACAGAGTATGTTTTATTTTGCTCCCAAGCAACCAAGGACTCTCAGAGGTGAGGCTTTTGAGGTCAGAGTATATGGATATGAATCCTATAATTTGCTGTGAGTAGATGTCCAAAGCTCTCAAGCTGGTATGTTTTACTTCAGCTCCCTTCAACTGTGTTTTACTTCTTTGCATTAGAATCCTCAGGTGCCAAGAGATGACTGTTACCCATTTTTAATCCAAACTTTGCCAACTCTTGCATGTTCATTCTGGCTCCTGATGTTTGTTATTTGTCCTTAAGCCCCAGATCACAGTCATGAAACTGCATGAGAATTTCAGTTTTCATTCAAAACACTCAAGGCTCTAACTCTGTTGGCTTTAAAGCTTGAAAACACAACTTGTGCTTTTTTTGACTCCTAGCTTCTGAACTTTTCGGAATATCTCATACACAAAGTGGGTTTTGTTTTTAAGAACAATAACCAAAAAGACAAAAAAACAAAACAACCCCTCCTCCCCCATGAATTGATAGTAGCAGTTTACTTATGCCTTTTTCTAAATGGTTACAGTAAAACAACCAATAACAATTATATATAGCACACTCATAACATGTATATGATTTATAATTTTGCTACAAACATACTGTAAAGATTATCCATTCTGTCAGTTTACCTCAAGTGAAACCAGAACACAGTATATGACAATACAGAGAAATACATCAAATGAAGGAGCGGACAGCGAAGCAAAAAGGGAGAGCTCTGCAGCTAAACACGTATTTCGAAGGTATGCCATCGGCAGTGCTGCTAATTGGATGTGCAGCTATTCTGCTCTGTAACAAAACTAACCACATATCTAAATCCCTCAAGCTTAATGACTCCCTAAACTCTCCTTTGCTCCTATACAATTTCCCAGCTGCTGCGCTTCTGTGGTGCTCCCTTGCAGATATTAAGTGTCAGGTACCAGCCCAGGCACTGCCCAGCCCAGCTGATGCTGATGAGCCTCCAGTAAGATGCAGCTGTGGGACAGAAGCTTGAGTTCAGATTGCCTGGTATCAAGTGCTCTCCTTTGTGCCCAAGTTGTTTTTGCTTTGCAAGGATTCACCTGGTTAATCTTTCCCTCTGCTTTCTCAAAGGCTGCTTTATCAAAGAGGGGCCAGTAGGGTTGGGGTTTAGCCTTTTTGGCTGAGTAGAGCAGAGGATGCAACTTCAGGTATGTGAAGGGAGCCCAAATCCAGCAAGGAGGTTGGCTGGCTTGGTCAGAAATCAGCATAGAGTAAATAACAGCTTTGTGCATAATGGAAATTATCTTACCACTGCTGAAATGTGGAGAAATTGTGTAACAGTAGTCTGCAGAGATGTGTTGGACAACAGACTTGAAATGCTTACTGGCAGGGAAGGTAAAACCTTCCTGAGAGTGACTCTGCCAGTGAGTAGTTGTGCATAACAAGGCTCTCAGTTGCATGCATACCACCAAAGACTGACTTTCAGGCTCTGTTGTGTGAGCTGGGAGCGTAAGTTAAGGCTCTTCCAGAGTTAAGCAGTGAGAAAAATTCTGGTATTCCTTCTTATTTGCATCCAGGTACATTTAGACACCCCAGTCAAGCTTTAGACCTCTTTGTAGAACTCATCTGAAAACCAGTATCCCAGAGCTTCCAGTCTGCTTCAGCAGGCCTTCACCACAAGATGGCATTCTCTGAACTCTCTTGTCCAGAAAAACACAAAACCCACTACCCATAATAACAACAATAATAATTTAGAAAGGGGGGGGAGGACACTCAAGCCCTTCCCCAATTTTTCCTGAGCCTGGGACAAAGGGAGAATGGTCAGGAAGTAGTTTATCTTGTTGCAAAACAATGATGTTGCTTTCAGAGAGCTCCATGTGAGGGTGAGTGAAAAGTCCCTTTAAAAAAAAAAAAGGCGAAATACAGTATTGTGCATCTTGAAACCTGAAACCAAGAAACTGAAGTGCAGGGAATACAAGGGGGAAAAAGTCTTGCAAATTCTGAGGACAACTGCAGCAAGTGGAGTTTTGAGGAGTGAAATCTATTTATATCTTCAAAAGTCATTGAATGGCTCTTTTGGAGAAAGCTGTGAAATAAGGGAGTTTTGGAAGAAGACGACTTTTTTCTTCTCCCCTTTTCTGGATATAATGGCTATTGCAAAGCAAAAAGCCTGGAGATTTGGCTTCAAATGTTTCTTCTTTGCAACCTTTATGTTAGCCTGTGATGGACAAGGTGGAAATAGAGAGAATGGTGGCCCTGCATGTTATGGAGGATTTGATTTGTACTTCATTTTAGACAAGTAAGTTTGCCTTTATTTTGTTCTTTCAAAAGAAACCTTTCCCAAGGCATGGGAATGACAGAAATAGACACTTGAAAGAAGCTCTCTTCAGATTTGGGTTGGTAAAAGTCATCATGTCCCCTAGGGACCTGCAAAAGTTCCTACTCCTATGATTTTATTTTTGTTTTGGTAACTTCTGCAGTAGCTACAGTATGTCATACACACATTTAGGTCTACTACAGATGTGCTGTGAACTGAAGTTTCTTTGTTATATTAATAATAATAATAATAATAATAATAATAATAATTATTATTATTATTATTATTATTATTATTGATATTCTCCTTGTAACTATCATAGACCCTTAATTGGATAATTGATTCCTATGTGTCCTAAAACTAAAGGGAAGGAGGGAGAAAACTGGTTATTTCTGATTTTTCTTTGATCTGAAGCAGTGTGAAGCACATTTTAAAAGGAGATGGCTGGAGAATGTTATCACAGGCATTAATTTTCCTCTGAAAGCATTCAGCTAAAAAGCTAATCTGCCTGGAGGATTTCTTCTGTACCATTTCCCTGTTAGATCCAAATGCTCCAGGGTAGAAGACTGGCTGATAAAAACAACTCATTAAGGGCTGGATGCTCTGTTTGAAGACTCTGATTTTGGGTCATTGTGATGGAAAATAACTTGCCTTCCTTAAGGTACTTTTTTTTTAAGCGGGTTTGTTTTCCCAGCTCTGAGTCATATTTTCTTTGTTTCCTGTTAATCAAAGGCATATTTCTAAAGCTTAACTAGTGGTATATAGTACAGACAGATACTCCTGTTATTTAGCAGCCTTATGCTACAAGGTCATTGTCTTTGCAGTGGCAGGTTTCAGCATAATGGTAAATGCTGTCAAATCACATTATAAACAAATGTGGGAAGATACAAAGCTCTTCAGAACTAGAACAACATAAAACCCCAGGATAGGTGCAACCCCCCTCTCCCAAAAAACCCCAAACAAAACAAAAAACCTAAGTTGAAGATGCCAAAAAGCATCAGCAATACTAACAGTCTCTAACATTCGGAAGTTATTTAAAAGTGGCTATTTTAAGAAAAGCATTAATTAGGAAATATTGGAAAAGATACATTCCGGAATCGTGATATTGAGATTATTTGGCCATAAACTTCAGCGATGGGAGTGTATTTTGGAGATGCCAGAGAAGCATGCAAAAGAAACTTTCTAAGTGGTCCCTGTGTGTACTTTACATTAGTTCCTGAAGTCACTTAACACAAAAGATGTTTTTGATTACATATCATTAAACAGCAAGATTGGGTACAAAACAAGATTGCATTGGATAGTCAGGGAAAGAGAGTGCTAAATACTCAAGGGAAAAATAATTTGGTTTTCCATTTTTCTTGGTTCAATAAAAAAAGATTTGTTTGCATTGCTTGTTGTTGGTTTGGCTAGTCTGTTGTTTCTTGGAATATTTGCTTTTATCCCCAGGTTTCATGCCAATGATGGTAAAAAAAGATGTTGAACATGACTTCTACTGTAGATTGCTTCAGTATGCTAAGTTTTCCCCAAAGTCCAAGTGGAGTTGTTCTTTTCCCCCTCATATGGATGTGCTCTGTCAGAACTCTGAATTCTCCTAACCATTGTTGTAGCTTTCCTATTCTCCTGCAGATGATACAGACCCTTTATAGAGACACTGTTGCACCAGTGCATGTGTATTACTGGATCCGACTGTGCTCCTACTTGGCATTGACGTAGCATCTCTGTATTTGAGGTTGAAAATGTCCTTAATGAGGAGAGGGTTGTGGATGACACCTGATCCAAACCCCATTGAAATTAATGGAAAAACTTACTAATTTGGATGAGGGCTGTGAACTCTATTGCACAAGATGCTGAGGGTCTCTTGAGGAGTGAGGATTCTCAGCTCTTGGAAAGGGGTGCTTAGCACTCTGCAGAGAAAGACATGCAGATGTTTTTAACAGCAAAGACTACGATGTGCACAACTGTATTTTGAATGTTCTTTTATAGGTTTATTTTTCAGAGTCTCCGTCATCAGAAATGTCTGGGAAATAGCTTATCAGATCCTAATCCGTCCCTGGTATTAATAGGTGCATCTCTTTGATTTCAAGGGAGCTGGTGTCAGGCTTTTATATGGGCCTGGATTTGGCTCTGGGTTTACATATGTAAATATTGTCTGGCTTTATCCAATCAGGTTAGCTGTGCGGATGGTTGTGTGGGTAGAGAGCAATCCAGATGATACCCAGTGAGTCTCAATCTGTTCCTCAGCTGACACATTACTCTCACAATGGTATACGGGCTTTTCCTTTCGCTTGGATCATACACACGTACGACTAGAACGCTGTTTTCTGAGTATTCATCCAGTAGGATAAACCTAAATGTATGTGGTCCAAAAGGAGTTCTCCAATAAATTAATGTTCACTAGGCATCGTCCACTGCCAAAATCATAAATAAACTGAACCTTGCCTACTCTATAACAAAGGGGGAGTAACAGCCAGCATGCCAAGGGGGTTTGGGACGCTAGTGTAATTTTAGCAGTAGTGTCTGACATGTCTTAGATTTTTAATGAAATTGTTATTCTCTTTTCATTCTTCTGGGGCATAAAAGGGAAGATAATGGCATTATTTCTGGATGTCTGAATGCTTGCCTTTTTCTTCTCTTCTCTTTGCTCACCATATGAAATGGCAGACTTGTATGCAAGGTCTCCGAGCACTCTGTCTGCAACCAAGACGCCTCTAAGTCTACAGCATGTACAATGACTAGGGCAGAACCTTGTTTCTGTTCAGGAGTATATTAAGTGGAGCAGGGATCTTACTGTGATACAGCAGAGACCAGAGACAATATAGTTTGATAGCACATGAGTATGATCTTTACTACTCTTTTCTTCAGTGCTGGGTTACATGTTCAATGGAAATGTCCTTTTTACTGTAAACAGAGGAATAGTCTTAAGAGTCGGAGTTTTGCTGCAAGGTTCTGCATATAGGATCAGCAACAGGCACGAAACGCTGTGGGAAAACCCTAGTTTAAAGGCAGTACATGGACTCAAACTGATACTAAGTCTAAAGAGGCAGAGACAGAGGAGTCAGCAAAGGCTCCAGCACTGATGGTTTCCAGGACGGTGTTTATTTTTGCATTATTATTTCTTTGATCCTTGAAAGTAGGTTGCTTAATATTTTAATAGACCTCTTCCATGACCACATTAGCATCCCAAGTGTCAGAATAAAAATGCTCTCTGTTTCTCCTTTCTTTTTTGCTGAGACTTTAGATATTGTTTTTAAGGCTCTTCCAGAGGGAAGCAATGAGAGAAACTCTGGTATCCTTTCTTATTTGTATCTGGATGCAGTTATACACCTTGCCAAGATTCAGTCGTTTTTGTGTAACCCAGGCTCCCTGCCTTGAAGAGCTGAACATGTAGGAATTGCCCAACTGAATAAAACCCAAGATGTATCAAGACCATGCTCCTTTCTCTGTCAGTAATTAGTACAAGTCGAGAATTAAGAGCCATTCAGTAGCAGTTGTAGGGAAAATGTGCCCCTACAATTAGATTTCAGGTTGGTCTAGTAGGTGTTGGTTTAAGATTTAGAGTGTGTGGTTTAATATCCATTCCAAAATTTTTATTGTTGTGAATTGGAGAACCTCAGAATACTTGTGTTTATAAAATTGCATAGTCCCCTCCTTGGTTTTTTTTTTGTTCCTCAGTTTCATGCACTCACACACACGCACGTGTGCGCACACTTCAGTGAAAGCTGAGGTTCTGTCATATTCATTTATCTCCAGAAGCCAAGTCAAAGTAAAGTACCAGCTCCTGTTAGGAGAGCTTAATTTTCTTGAAGGCATCCAAAAGAGATGGGTCTCAAGAAGAGAACTGACGGAGAAAAGGACCGTGGTCTTAGAGAAATAATAAGGGAGTGTGTTTCATGAGTAGGAGGTGCCACGGAAAGAAATCCAGAGATTGTTTTGTGTGGTAAATCGAGCATCCAGCAGATAAATGTAGCCCTGCTGGTGGAGGGGAGGGTGTGCTGGGAGATGAAGTCAGGAGGCTGAATTTTGAAAGAACTTGAAGGTGGATCAAAGCTTAAAATGAATAGCAAGACTAGGTTTGGCTTTGGGTTGACGTAGAGAGGGCCAATGACAGGCTTCAGAGCCTATTGAAGGGAATGAAAACCTGCCCCAGGAATTCAGGGGTCTTTAAATAAGTCTTTCAAGAGGGGGTCAGAATGACATGAGAGGAAGAAGTGTAGTTAGCTGAGATGTCGCACAGATCTGAGGGGTGCAATATGATGGCAGATGCAACAGAGATGGAAGGTTACTATAGTCAATGTGAGAGATGAGAGGAGGCCAAGATGAGAGGTTTCAGCAATCGGGCCCTAATGTTCTTTCGTTTAGACAAATCTCCCAGTGATCTCAATGTACCAGCTCTTAATGATAGTCATTGGTTTAATCTGCTTGGATTATTGATTGGATCCTTACTCAAGCAATATGACAAAAGAAGCTCAGATCTTGCACCAGTGAAAGAGAGGGGTAACTTCCCTCAGTGGTTTGGTTTGATCCCGGTATTTGTATTTGGGCAGTGACAAAAGATCAACAATAGAAATTGGGATCTTGGAACTTCCACTAGATTAAATAAAAGTTCTAGGTCTAAATTGCGTGGGCTATTCTGAAATTCTCCATCTATCCCTGTCCTCCTGGTTTGCTAGTATAGAGAATTTTTCTAGGCAAGAAAAATAGAGGTATCCCAGCTCTTCTTGCACACACTAGGACTGTATTGCATGCAGTGCCCAGTCTGACAGGTTCCATAAGTGAGAACAACTACTTGGATAGGAAAATGTGTCATTTCTGGACTGGTTGGTTTACTGTTTAGCAACAGGCTGAACCAATAAAATTTTCTCTAACTGCAGAATGTTTTCCACAGATGTATGCAAGTAACAGGAATGAATGCCTTTTCATCCCTGGTTTTGAGGGTTACTGGCAAGACTGTACCCTGAGGCAGATATTTTTTATCATATAGC